CTTGTAAAAATTTCATCCCGCCAGACCAGGGAAAACATTTCTTTTTCATTGGGGAGCACCGGCCGCTTCTGAAAATTTCAACCCGCCTGACCAGGGGAAAACAATTTTTTTTCATCGGGGAGCCTCGGCCGCTTGTGAAAATTTCATTCAGCCTGACCAGTGAAAAATATTTCTTTTTCATCGGGGAGTATCGGCCGCCTGTGAAAATTTCATCCCGCCTGACCAGGGAAAACATTTTTTTTCATCGGGGAGCCGCGGTGGCATGTGAAAACTTCATCCCGCCTGACCAGAAGGAAAAAAATTTCCATCGGGGAGCATTGACCGTCTTTGAAAATTTCATCCCGCCTTACCAGCGAAAAAAACAAAATATTTTTTTCATCGGGGAGCCGAGGCTGCCTGTTTAAATTTCATCCCGCCGTACCAGCGGATTTTTTTTTCATCGGGGAGCATCGGCCGTTAGTGCAAATTTCATCCCGCCTGACATGGGGAAAAAAATTCTTCATTGGGGAGCCGCGGCCGCCTGTGAAAATTTCCTCCCGTCTCACCAGGGGACATTTGTTTTCATCGGGGAGCATTGGCTGCCTGTGAAAATTTCATCCCGCCTGACCAGGGGAAAAAAACAACATTCAACATTCGTTTTCAACATTCAACATACGATTTAAACATTCAACATTCGTTTTCAACATTTGAAGCACATCTTTGGTTTCACAGAGAACTATAACAAGATCATGTATGGATTAAAACACGAACTGATACTCGTTCGTGACACTGATACAAAAGCAGTGTTCAGAGCAGTAGCAGTCAACGATATAGCAACGACTATCCTGGACGTTTCTCGTGCTGTACGCTTTGATGAGAACAAGCTGAAACTGTACAAAACAATCGAGAGCAAGACTTAACAAAAATGTGGTTTCCGCATGAGACAGTGCGATTCCATAGCCGTCGACTCCCCAGAGTACACAACTTGGTGATTATCTGCCAATAGCGGCCAAGAAAAAGCTAGATGGATCATTGTAGCCATCCAAATCGGCAAGAAGAAAACCAACAACGCAGCCGTGTTCGATCACTGTCGAACAAAAAAAAACTCATCACTCTCAATGCACAACGCTATCCCGTTGCAGTCATCAACTTACCTTCACCCAGTGTGAAGTAATATTATCTATGGTGTCAAAGGAAGCAGTCTACTTTCGCAAAAAAAATCTTAAACATGGATCATTTCATCAGCAACAGTAACATCAACCTCTCCGACTTTTCAGACCTGCATCCCTTGTTCGACATCGATGTGAGTCTGGGAAGCTAAAAGAATCTGTGGTAGACACTCAGACCAAGACAGAATTCGAGCGCAATGTCCCAGCAAACAACGGAGCCTTCGCACCGGGAATCTGATAGACTCCTACAGTTCGAGTTTGGTGGTCAAAAGATGAACGTCGTATTCTAAAGTAAATAACTTGATAACAAATTGTTGCAACGCATTGCCGACACATGGTGTCTTGGAAAGACAACATGATTGACACTCGGTTCAATCCACCCTTTGAACTAAAAGTTACGAGATGGCTGATGGCTTACGAGACGAACATGTACTACTCTTTCTCGAACATTCGTGCAGGGAATAACATGTACACCTTTCGTTATACTCACGACAATGGTACCACTTGGTTTGCCATTACTTGAACACTGGTTTTTACAGTATCGGAGACATCATCGACGAGTTTCAGAGTCAACTTCGACTCGACAAACACGCGACAAAGATCACCATTGATGCATGCCAATCGTACTACACTGAGTACACTAACTTTAGCTTAATTAAACCTATCAAGTAGACTTCAACGTGGACAACAGTATCAAGCCAGTACTGGAGTTCGAAAAAAGAATATATTTATTTAATCTGCAACATGAAAAGGCGCCATTACATGCATTCCTTTGAAATCGTTAGCTGTTCAACGCTGTCGAAATATTGGTTTTGATGGTGTTATCCAAACTATCGACACGAAACGGAAGAAAGAAGAAGACACCGTAGACTCAACTAGATCTTACAGATCCAAGATCGAAAAAGAAATCAACAAGGCTTGGTGTGATAACAACATCTGCGAAGCAGAATTTGCAGGCGTTGTCAAATGCTTACCATTTTACCACGAAGAGAAACAACTGCGACAACCTTCGATTACATTTACCGAGGACCTTACTGCGTATGCGCCGTAAAAACTTTCCTGCTTCGCTAGGTGCCCCATTTGGAACGTTTCACCCCATCGCGATGATTTTTAATCAAGTTTTCAGGATACAAAATCGATCTTATTTTGTTTACCTACCTGCCCAACCCGATCGCTGTCAACCTACTTTCTGACTAGTGTATAGAAGAAGGAATTCCTGTTTTGACTTCTTACTCGTCTGCAGACATTCGCTTCTCATGTACGTCCTTTACAACTCCCTCTCTTTGTTCAACCGTGTACAGAGGGGGCGGGGTGCCCGGCCCACCTTATGGAGCTTCATTTATGGTTAATCCAGACTTTTTACCTGTTCCACTACAAATTTTGTCTAGTTTGGGGGCCCGCCACGCCCCCCCCCCTTTTTTTTTTTATAAATTCTGGATCCGCATCTGTTGTACATGCTCATACTTGTAATTTTTACTGTCAAAATCTTACTCTTTTGGAACTTACTCTCTACTTCGATCACAATCAGAATCCTGTAGATTAATTAGTAGGAAGATCCTTCTCAGTCTTTAGTTTTCTATTAAAGGTGGGTTTTGTAAACTGTTGTTTGTCTTTTAGTCTTTTTTGCCATGGCGTTACCAGTTTATTCTAGACTTATGAGTTTGAATTTCCCTTTGGTATCTTTCACCTCTCTTTTTCCACTTCATTTTATCACGACTCTGTTCTTATAAGCCCTTTTCTCAAAAGCGTTTTTATTCATGAATACGTCTATCTAGTCCTGTACTTCGTCAGCTAGTCACCTTCCCGACATCCATTTGGGTTTTTAAAGCCATTTAGATTGTTGACTACTCAATCTAGATACTGGTCGTCTGCATCACTTTCAGTTTTGGGGTGTGACTCCTTACTTACTTTCGCGGTTGGTGCAAATTGACCATTTAACACTACTACCATGTGTAGTTTGCTTGTAAAAGTATTGATGCAAGAATAATTTAGACGGTAAAAATGCATCAAACTATGCGGCATATTAAGTTTATGGTATTTTTTTTTTGATGTGTGTGTATTTCTTCCTGCCTGATTTGTATGTTTTGAAATTTGTCTGTATTAAGTAAATAGAAAAACACAGGCATGACCTTACGGTACAAAATATATTATCGCAATGCCCATCACTGAACAGAATATTCACAATTACAATTAAATAATATAAAATTGAGAATGGAAATATACAATATTTTGGAATTAATAAATATAATTGGTTATAACGATTATTATGATTGTTATAAAACAAAAGTTAGTACAATGTACCAAATAAAATAATAACCTAATGCAATGATCTAAAATTAGAATACTAAAAAACACACTGTAATTTAGACCAAATCCGTCATGAAACCATTGATTATTATTACAATTACTATTTGTATCAAACAATCTAAACAAGGGAGATGTGCATGGTGTGATTGCCAAATGATACAGCTATCCGCCAGAGTCCAAATGACATGCATTTAAGTACCTATATGGCACCGTTTACCAAAAACTCATCGTTTAGTCAGCTGTAAAAGGCCAGACATCCAAACAAATAACAAACGGCATGATTTATGATAAAACATTCATAAAAAACCAAATATGACGGACAGCAGCTAACGGCAACTACTGAATTACGGGTTCCTGACTTGGAACAGGCACATAAAGAATATGGTGTGGTTAAACATGTTTGTGAGCGCTAAACCCTCCCCTAACCTGGGGCAATGGTGTAACAGTATAATATAAGAACAAACCGGAAAATCAGTTGGAAAAATTTGACTCATAAAAATCTTTTTTTTTCATAGCATATGAAAAAATGGAATTATTTTACTTTTAAGATTTTAACAATGTCTGTTTAAGGGTTTATCTAGCACTGATCTTTAAGTACTAGTATTTGGCTCAAAGAATACTGATTGTAAAGAATTGACGTCTGTCTAATCATTATTTTCCGATGATTGTAAAATGTTCCAAACCATCTAAAAGTATTCGTCTGACTGTGACCATAGGCGCTGGTGGCAAGGACCCCTTTTTCTGATTATGTTTTGTTTTGTTTATTCTTTAATAGTGATTTTTTTTACTTATTTAGTTTGTATTTGGTCTTATCCACACCATATATTATATTTGGAAAATCTATAGTCAAGAAGAACAAGTCAACGGCTGATATTTCTGTACAAAGTGGTTGAGGGTTTGGTCAAAGCTATTAATGCCCCCCCCCCCCCCCCCCCCCCCCCCACGCATTAATTCTAACGATTTTCTGGTTACTGAAAGTAATCTTAGAGAAAAATTAAACCGAAAAAAATTGATAACTTTGCGGAAAGTGTCAATATGGTGACACATTCAGTGAAGAACAATACGAAGGCACTAGACACTATTTCATATAATACGGACCCATATAAGAACTCTTTCTTTGTCCGAAGAGCATAATACATTGGAACCAACTAGAAGACATTATTGTAGGCTATGCGCTAATACAATTGAGAGCTTCAAGGCAGCTCTCCAACACCGTCAATAGGTTTCTCTCTCTCCCTTTGAATAAAAGTCAGAATTTGTACCTTCGACGTATATATACAGATACAGATATTCTGACTCTCTAATAAGAACATCTACTAAAAAGATAAACAGAAAAAGCATTAAAAAGAGGGGGTAGAAAAGAGGGTCCTTGCCACGAGCGTCTGTGACTGTGACCTCTTTTTCTTTGTTCATTGTAATATTCAGTGACATCTAAAGTAAACCTTTGATTTATAAGACTATGAGCATAAAATCAGTCAAAATCAGTATAACAGTAGAACCGGTCTGAATTTTTTCGGAAACTTCTCCGATATGGGTTTGGTTTTTAGTATAAGATAGGTTTGTTATCTCCCGTTATAGAAGAAAATCGCATTAATACACCAATAAAAGCATAGAATGGGGAGAAGAAGACTATTATCACAATATCAGCCAACTGCTGGCGTTAATGCAGATTTTGAGAAACTTCTTCAGCAATTCACAGCAACTGAGACTGTTAGATTTGAAAAATTTTCTGAAATTTGGCGTGAACTGAAAATGAGCTTCATCTTTGCTGGCAGAGACTCGGAAAGAGAATGCCGAGAGGTTTATATATTTTGCACCTTTCTAATAATAGTTTGGGGCAGATTCTCATAAATGGTTGTGTGAAAACACAAATGAATGGATGATTGAATTGGTACATGAGAGATAGGAACCCTCAATCTCGGGATCTAAAAGCAGCCCTCTTTTTTTTTTTCGACTGATAGTGTGGTAAAGTGGTATTTTAGGCGGAAACAAGACTACAATAGAGCCAAAGAGGTCTTTCCTAATTCAACCAGTAATACTACCTTTATATCTCCATTTATACAGCAACTGGTATTAGAAAACCCCTTAAATGGGTATTAATACTATTATACCCATATACTAAAAGGCAGTGTCTGCGCGACCCCGGAATTCATGACAACTCGCCCCACTGCCAAATCGCCCCATACCAAATCGCCCCACTTTTTCACCAACTCGCCCCACTTTCTAAAAAATTGCCCCACTCTTGTTAACCGTTGAATATAGGTCTGCCAACTCGCCTCTCTTATTAAAAAGGTTAAAATCCCGCTGAATAAAGGTCTGCCAACTCGCCCCACTTATAAAAAATAGTAAAATCCCGCTGTTTAAAGGTCTGCCAACTCGCCCCACTTATAAAAAAAAGTAAAATCCCAATGAATTTTTATAGTCCTGCAAACTTGCCCCACTTATGAAAAAGGGTAAAATCCCACTGAATAAAGGTCTGCCAACTCGTCTCACTTATGAAAAAAAGATTAATATCTTACTGCATTAATGACTACCAACTCGCCCCACTTATCCCATTATAAATACTAAAATTACATACATGTAATAATAAGTAATGTATCTACAATTCTATTTTAAGAAATGAAGCATCATTTAATTTCAATCATTATCATGTATTCAATTTTCGATTTTTATTAGTATCACAAGTGATTTGTTTTATTCTGTGTAGATAAGTTTTCATAAGTGGGGCGAGTTGGCAGATCTTTATTATATATTATTGGTTTACCCTTTGTCATAAGTGGGGCGAGTTGGTAAACCAGAGTGGAGCGATTTTCTGAAAAGTGGGGCGAGTTGGTGAAAAAGTGGGGCGAGTTGGTAAACCAGAGTGGAGCGATTTTCTGAAAAGTGGGGCGAGTTGGTGAAAAAGTGGGGCGATTTGGCAGTGGGGCAAGTTTTCTTGCTTTCGCGATCCCGCATGCAGGGACGAGTAGCCAAATTGGCCTTCATATGATACGCGTACCCGCATTGGGTTTTATAATTAAATGTCATCAGATCGGCAATAAAACGTGGAATATACATTGAAATTATCAGTAATTTGCGGATTTTGTGAATTCAGTGAAGAGAATGGCAAACAATATTTTTTTAATTTGTATTTATTAGTTAAAAATACATAATAAACATTGCAAATTAGATGCACACTTAAGGGATAAAACTGTACAGTCCTTGTAAAAGGAAACATGATAAAAAAAATAGAAATTAAATGTAAAATGCGCATAAAAAGAATAAAATTATACTGAATTTTAAAAAAAGTTATGTAAAAACTCGAGTGTGAAAATAATTTTCTAGTAAAATGCGAAACGCTGAGAAACCAAAATTATAAAATATCTAAAACTGACTAAAAATAAAGCTTCAGTGTACACATAAATTAAAGAAGCAAATAATAAGATCAAATTCAATATGTATAAAAATAGATGCATTTGATAATTATATATCCATTCAGAACTGCGGATTCATCTTTTACTACTTGTGATGTTGCACCTGAAATATAATAAAATATTTCAGGTGTTCATATATTATAGGTTAAAATGAACAATGTTATGTATGATGAATAAATTATTTTTAATTAATAATGTGTTATATATATGTATAGATAATCTATTTTATTTGTATATTTATTTTAAGAACTTAAACTGTTTTATTTTGTTTTGTTTTTCTCACTTGTTTGTAATGCTTTTTAATTTGATTATCATTTAAATTTGTTTTATCATAGATTCCATTATATCAGTAACTATAGTTGATATTTAATAAAAATATATAAAAACTAACCAGGGACCTTTCTCATCTCTGTGAGTAACCAATGTATTCACTAATTGCGATAATTTCCGCGTTTATTTCACATTTTGTTTCCAATCCGATGACATTTAATTATAAAACAGGATGCAGTACGGGTAGCCTACAAAGGCCAATTTGGCTACTTGTCCCTGCAAGCGGGGTTGCTCAGACACTGCCATTCTAAAAAGTGTCATCTAGCTTGCATTGTCTCAGAGAAAAATTGAAAAATGTTACAGGGTAACCTGTCATCATTGTTGAATGTTCTTTTGTACACTGTGATCAAATTGGAAACAAGATGTTTTAGCCATGAGGCTAGTTTCGGCTTGGTTGTTTTGGCCATGTAATAAAAGTCGTTTCGGTCTTACATTTATTTTAAATCAAAAGAGATTTTGTAATATATTCTTTCAGTTATATGTCTTAATATAACAAATAAAAAATAACTTTATTACACTTTTAATCATGTTAGTACAGATGTTTTGATAAAAAAACATCTAGTTCCTCTTTGTAAGTAGTAATTGAAAGTTAATTAGGAGTTCATTGCAGATAACACATACCTTAATGTTTAATACTTGCTGTAATAATAAGTACACAATGTTGTTCTTTGAATTTGGTATTGGTCATGTTTCAAAAAGAATACTGGTCTTGTAGAGTGCTACAGTCCCTTGCGGAACACAAGCTTATGCATCAGACCTGCCAACTTACACGATTTATGGGGGATTTCCCCCATGAGAGGTGTTGCCATGAATTTTAAAATTTTTTATTATACAAATTGAACCCGTCAAAACAGACATTAAAATGAGTTAAAAGGGTATTTAAGCACATACATACTAATTCAAACAATATAATAGTAGATTAAAAACACTTATGAGAATATAAGAGGAGCATTAGGTCCTCTTGCACTTAAAATCCCCCCATGGAGATTTTGAAAAGTTGGCAGGTATGATGCATACTTTCACTGTTATAACAAAAGCTCTATAAAAACTGTTGCATGTTAGACCATTTGTAATATTTATCTATTATATAATTTACTTATTTATTAAAAATAGAAGGCAAGACATTTCAGTAAGAGCACTCTTGTTTAAATATATTCAAATATATATATAAGGCAATCTTAACCTTAATTTTAATTTAACTCATAATTGCATGATTATATTAAATAAAAAATATGGTTAGAATAATTGAATGCATATTTTTGTAATCAAATAGGTAGTAATCGCGATGACCTTGTGCACTCTTTTTTGTATGTGCTTAGGTAAACTTCCATTATATTTTAGGTATTATATTTTATCTTCACTTGCTGATTATATTTTTATTCTATTGTACTATTATCAAAGTGGTATAAGTGACAGTCTTGTTTTCAAATTATCAAATTATATAACAAGTTGATTGGTTATACGAGACACACGCCTTTGTCAATCACCTAGACACTATTTTTCACGTATGGCCTTCAACAATGAGAAAACCCCATACCGTATAGTCAGCTATAAAAGGCCCCGACATGAAAAAATTTTATCACTTAGCTAATCCAATTATCTAATTAAATATACAAACGTAAGTGATTGAAACATGAAGATGGCAAAATGTAATACACAGCTGTCATTCGGTATATCGAGAAAAAAGATCGTGAAAGAAAAAGTAATGGTGGTCAACCATTACGATCAGATCAGAATGTGAAAGATCTAGTATTTGATCCTTAACGCAATTAAATACAATTCAACTGCAAAATCTGTGAAAATATCAATTGTATTATCAACAGGTGGAAATCTGCCATGGTCACATTCCAATAAATGATGATCAATTTCTCTACCTGCTGTGACATTTTCCTTACACTGCATCATACTTATCTTTATTAAGAAAGTCTATTAATTTACTAATAAAAATAAGGAGATGTGGTATGATTGCCAATGAAACAACTATCCACCAAAGTTCAAATGAAGTGGATGTAAGCAATTATAGGCAACCGTACGGCCTTCAACAATGAGAAAACCCCATACTGTATAGTCAGCTATAAAAGGCCCCAACATGAAAAATACCGGTATGACACAATTCAAAGGAGAAAACTAACAGCCTAATTTATAACAAAACAATTTATGAAAAACAAATATGACAGACATGAACCATTGACAACCACTGAACTGCACAGTCTGCAGGCTCCTGACTTGGGACAGGCACAGAAACAATGTGGCGAGGTTAAACATGTTTTTGAGTACTCAACCGTCCACATATGGCCGAACAGGTTTATGGCGGAAAAATCTTGAAAGCATCAGATTGATACTGAAGTTTGATAAAAAAAAACTTCAACTTGCTAAATATGGAATTATTTGTATTGAAGAAAACAACTTTAAAACACACGATAGTTACTGTTCATTTATAGTTTGACTTAGAATGACTATTTCAGGGCTCATCTCATGATGCATGGGACAGGACAGTCACTCTACATTTAGTAAAAAAAAAACTTTTTTTTTTCAGTATACAGAAGAAATGATGAAGTGGGCTCTGAAGTATTTATTACCTCCATATAACTTTCAAGTACGGGTTGGAGGATTGTATCTGTTGTATGGATTGTTTAATCAACAGCCATTGGTGCGGAAAGTAAGGGTATGTATCCATGGTTACTGTCTCTGATGTTATTATTTACCGCATAGCAAGCTACATTGTTCATGTTGTTGTATAAGGTAGCACAATACAAAGATTTTTTCACCCCAATCAGACAACTTTAAACTGATGTAATTTCTTTCATCCAGCTCTGAAATTTATAAATGAGGAACCAAAAAAAGAAGAAAGATTAATCTCTCAAATGGTGATCATTTCATTATTACATAATTATTGCATATTTAATTATTATGTAATTAGTTGCTAGATTGTGATGTCCACATTTGAATGAAATTAGCTTCTTTGTTATTCATAGCATCCCAAAATTTTTGATAGATTCTTGGGCAACACAGTTTGACCTCCAAAACTGTGTCTCAGATTTTTCCTATTGTATTTCATTCTCTCATAATGCTTCAATTAAGTTTGAAACATTAATTCATAATAAATCACTAAATTTGATTGGGTATAAAATTTGTTCTATTGATGTTTTTTGAAATCTGAGACATGGTTTTGAAGATAACTGGTCAAGGAACAACATGTGCTAAAATCAGGCATATAGGGGCACCCATCTAGGAGCTAATTTTATTTAAAACTCTATATTCATGACAAAAATTAATTGTGTCACAATTGAATAAATAAGAATTTTCCTATTTGAACCTCATTTACTTCAATATAATGTACCATGATGATACTTTAGGATTGGCCTTTAATCATATATCAATTAGGTTTTGACCAGTAAGAAAGCATTCCATTTCAGCAATTCTAAATATATAAAAAAATGCACACCCTATGCAACAAAAGTCAGATCTGGCGGGAGAAGTTATATCATTTTTGACCTTGCTGTAAGTCAGTTGTTACTGATATGGTCAAAACTCCACCCACCTGAATAAACATTAACTATGAATGATCTCAGAAGTTTAATTACACATTACATTTGCTTTTTTCAATATGGATTTTATTCATTTAGTACATAAAACAATATCTTTTGTTTTTAACATTTTCACAAAAAGTAAGTTATGCATGTGTACATAAAATGATCAGTTGGTCAATCTTGAGGATTCTTATGGGAGATTTCTTTAATTATAATGTAAACAATGACAATATGGTGTTTTACACAAAGTAGAATTTTCTTATTTTTGTAGTTTGAAAACAAAATATTTAATTTATGTTTTCGTTTAAAAAGGAATTCATATTTAAACATTCTCCTCAAGAAAATCTGATATAACCATCAACATTAATTGTTGTACAATTTTATTTGTTTAATGTCCGTCCGTCATCAACATGTCGGACATTAATTCAAAAACACTTTAACCAATATGCATGAAACTTAAGTGAATTGTTTATATCTATTGATGTGAGCTCACTTTCGTTTTTTATAAATTTCAGATGTACTATTTCTGAGTTTTGGGGTTTTATTCATTAAAAAAGGGGGGATTTTCCAGTTTTCGGACAATAACTCAAAAACAATTTCACCAATTTGCATGAAACTTTTGTGAATTGTTCATATCTATGGACGTGAGCTCCCTTTCGTCTTTTATAAATTTCGAATATACCGTTTCCGAGTTTTGGGGTTTTATTCATTAAAAAAGGGGGGATTTTGCAGTTTTCGGATAATAACTCAAACAAAATTTCACCAATTTGCATGAAACTTTTGTGAATTGTTCATATCTATTGACGTGAGCTCCCTTTCGTTTTTTATAAATTTCTGTTTTACCTTTTCCGAGTTTTGGGGTTTTATTCATTAAAAGAGGGACGAAAGATACCAGAGGGACAGTCAAACTCACAGTAAAAAAGGGGGGATTTTCCAGTTTACAGACAATAACTCAAAAACAATTTCACCAATTTGCAAGAAACTTTGGTGAATTCTTTTTTTCAACGACATGAGCTCCCTTTTGATTTTTATAAATTTCAGACTATACGTTTCCGATTTATGGGGTTTTATTCATTACAAAAAGGGGGATTTTCCAGCTTTCGGACAATAACTCAAAAATGCTTACAGCATTTTTTATGAAACTTTGGTAAATTATTTATATCTATTTTTGTAAGCTCCCTTTGATTTTTATAAATTTTCGATTTTACGTTTCCGAGTTATAAGATTTTATTTGTTTATAGTCTGACAACAGATTTACTAAGTATTTTGCAACAGCATAGTGTATTGCACAACAGCAAGAATCTTTCATATAACCAATTTCAAGTTCTTTGACTACATTTATTCAGAAACCTATAATATATCAAATATTTAATTACAATCCAAATTCAGACCTGTATCAAGCATGAATATTGTGTCCATTTTTGCCCCAACTGTTCAGGGTTGGACCTTTGCGGGCGTATCCAGCTGCGCTCAGCGAAGCAGTTTATTTCTTCTGCCAGCTCCAATAGAGAAATAATTTTTATTTGGAATTCATTATCTTCTTTTTAGCTCACCTGGCCCGAAGGGCCAAGTGAGCTTTTCTCATCACTTGGCGTCCGTCGTCTGTCGTCGTCGTTGTAAGCTTTTTACAAAAATTTTCTCCTCTGAAACCACTGGGCCAAATTTAACCAAACTTGGCCAAAATCATCATTAGGGTATCTTGTTTAAAAAATGTGTCCGATGACCCCGCCAACCAACCAAGATGGCCGCCATGGCTAAAAATAGAACATAGGGGTAAAATGTAGATTTTGGCTTATATCTCTGAAACTAAAGCATTTAGAGTAAATCTGACATGGGTAAAACTGATTATCAGGTCAAGATCTATCTGCCCTGAAATTTTCAGACAAATCTGACATCCTGTTGTTGGGTTGCTGCCCCTGAATTGGTAATTTTAAGGAAATTTTGCAGTTTTTGGTTATTATCTTGAATATTATTATAGATAGAGATAAACTGTAAACAGCAATAATGTTCAGCAAAGTAAGATCTACAAATAAGTTCTCATGACCAAAATTGTCAGTCGACCCCTTTAGGAGTTATTGCCCTTAATAGTCAATTTTAAACAATTTTTTGTAAATTTTTGTAATCTTTTACAAAAGTCTTCTTCTCTGAAACTACTGAGACAAATTAATTTAACCATACTTGGCCATAATCATTATAAGGGTATCTAGTTTAAAAAATTTGTCCGATGACCCCGCCTTCCAACCATCATGGCCGAAATGGTTAAAAACAGAACATAGGGGTAAAATGCAGTTTTTGGTTTATATCTCTGAAACTTAAGCATTTAGAGCAAATCAGACAGGTGGTAAAAATGTTCATCAGATTTAGATTTATCTGCCCTGAAATTTTCAGACGAATCCGACAACCTGTTGTTGGGTTGCTGCCCCTAAGTTAGTAATTTTACAAAAATTTTGCAGTTTTTTTGTCGAGCTCGACATAGGGATAGTGATCCGGCGGCGGCGTTAGCTAACTTCTTAAAAGCTTTATATTTTAGAAGCTAGAAGACCTGGATGCTTCATACTTTGTATATAGATGCCTTATGTTACGAAGTTTCCGTCTGTCATATGTCCAAAGTCCTTGACCTCATTTTCATGGTTCAGTGACTACTTGAAAAAAAAGTCAACATTTTTTGTAATGTTAATTTCTTTCTTATTATGAGTAATAGGATAACTATATTTAGTATGTGGGTACCTTTCAAGGTCCTCATGCCCGTCAGACAATTTTCATTTGACCTCGACCTCATTTCATGGATCAGTGAACCAGGTTAAGTTTTCGTGGTCAAGTCCATATATTAGATACTATAAGCAGTAGGTCTACTATATTTGGTATATGGAATGATTGTAAGGTGTACATGTCCAACTGGTAGGTGTCATGTGACCTTGACCTCATTTTCATGGTTCAGTGGTCAAAGTGAAGTTTTTGAGTTTTGGTCTTTTTTTCTAATACTATATGCAATAGGTCAACCATAAATGGTGTATGGAATGATTGTAAGGTGTACATGTCTAGCTGGCAGGTGTCATCTGACCTTGACCTCATTTTCATGGTTCAGTGGTCAAAGTTAAGTTTTTGAGTTTTGGTCTTTTTTTCTAATACTATATGCAATAGTTCAACTATATTTGGTGTATGGAAATATTTTATGATCTATATGTCAGTCACGCAGGTTTTGTTTGACCTTGACCTCATTTTCATGGTTCATTGCTCAGTGTTAAGTTTTTGTGTTTTGGTCTGTTTTTCTTATACTGTATGCAATAGGTCAACTATATTTGGTGTAAGGAATGATTGTAAGGTGTACATGTCTAGCTGGCAGCTGTCATCTAACCTTGACCTCATTTTCATGGATCAGTGGTCAAAGTTAAGTTTTTGAGTTTTGGTCTTTTTTTGTAATACTATATGCAATAGTTCGACTATATTTGGTGTATGGAAATATTTTATGATCTATATGTCAGTCACGCAGGTTTTATTTGACCTTGACCTCATTTTCAAGGTTCATTGCTCAGTGTTAAGTTTTTGTGTTTTGGTCTGTTTTTCTTAAACTATAAGCAATAGGTCAACTATATTTGTTGTATGGAAGAATTGTTAGCTATACATGCCTGCCTAGCATGGTTCATCTGACCTTGACCTCATTTTCGTGGTTCATTGGTCAATGTTTAGTTTACTTGGTTAATGTTAAGTTTATGTGACAGTTGTAATAAAGCTTTATATTTAGGACTATCAACATAATATCAATGATTAATAAAGAAGGAGAGACATTTCAGCGTGTGCACTCTTGTGTTATTATCTTAGATATCATTATAATATCTAATATCTAATACTATTAATTATGATTTTAACCTTATTTTACATGATTTCCAAAGCATCAGTAAATACAGGTGAGCAACACAGGCTCTTGAGAGCCTCTAGTTTCTATAAATCCCTAATCCACCTCTTTTTCATAACTGTTATTTTTATAGCTGGTCAGTGGTCATAAAGCTATCAAATGATTCTATTGATTAACCACAAAGTCCTGCCCACATGTTCTTATTTGTATCAGTCAGACACGTGCATTTGTTTATAAAACTAATTACCATCAAAACTTATTAACAGTGCAAGATATGGAAATATATTTTTCTTCTGTAGTTTTGGAATATTAATGAAGTAACAAAAACAGCTAAAAATGAAATTTTGATAAAATTTAGTTGCTTTTGTATTGTACATGTACTATAGCTACCATAAAAGGCCATAAAATAAAAAATGTATAACAATTCAAACAAAAAAACTGGCCTGATTTATGTACAAAAAAATAATTGAAAAACAAAAATATGACTGACAGCAACAAATGACAACCACTGAATTACAGGCTCCTGACTTGCATTTGTTCTGGTTGACTGACTTCTGGTGAAATTACACCCCTTGGACTTATTTGTACTTGTCTAGACCGTTTTTTTTTAAATACCTGTAGATCTTTTGAGCTATCTTTTTATACGCCCGTTTACGGGACGTATTATGGTATACCGTTGTATGTCCGTCTGTCCGTCCGTCGTCAACATGTCGGACATTAACTCAAAAATGCTTTAACCAACTTGCTTAAAACTTTGGTGAATTGTTTATATCTATTGACGTGAGCTCCCTTTCGTTTTTTATAAATTTTAGATTTTACGTTTCTGAGTTATGGGGTTTTATTCATTAAAAAAAGGGGGATTTTCCAGTTTTCAGACAATAACTCAAGAATGCTTTCACCAACTTGCAAGAAATTTTGGTTAATTGTTTATATCTATTGACATGAGCTCCCTTTGGATTTTTATAAATTTTAGATTTTACGTTTCCGAGTTATGGGGTTTTATTCATAAAAAAAAGGGGGATTTTCCAGTTTTCGGACAATAACTCAAAAATGCATTCAGCAGTTCTCATGAAACTTTGATGAATTGTTGATATCTATAGATGTAAGCTCCCTTTAGAATTTTATAAATTTTAGATTTTACATTTCCGAATTATGGGGTTTATTCATTAAAAAAGGGGGGATTTTTCAGTTTTCAGACAAAAACTCAAAAATGCTTTCAGCAATTTGTATGAAACTTTGGTGAACTGTTTATATCTATTGATGTAAGCTCCCTTTAGAATTTTATAAATTTTATTTGTTTATAGTCTGACAACAGATTTACTAAGTATTGCGCAACAGCACAGTGTATTGCACAACAGCAAGAAATCTTTAATTGAATATAAATTCAATTCATATAACCAACTTCAAGTTCTTTGACTACATTTATTCAGAAACCTATAATAGATGTATGTCAAATATTTAATTACAATCCAAATTCAGACCTGTATCAAGCTTGAATATTGTGTCCATTTTTGCCCCAACTGTTCAGGGTTAGACCTCTGCGGGCGTATCCAGCTGCGCTCAGCGAAGCAGTTTATTAAATTTATTACTTAATACCTATAGATCTTTTGAGCTATCTTTGTAATACCTGTAGATCTTTTGAGCTATCTTTGTAATACCTGTAGATCTTTTGAGCTATCTTTATAATACCTGTAGATCTTTTGAGCTATCTTTATAATACCTGTAGATCTTTTGAGCTATCTTTGTAATACCTGTAGATCTTTTGAGCTATCTTTATAATACCTGTAGATCTTTTGAGCTATCTTTGTAATACCTGTAGATCTTTTGAGCTATCTTTATAATACCTGTAGATCTTTTGAGCTATCTTTGTAATACCTGTAGATCTTTTGAGCTATCTTTATAATACCTGTAGATCTTTTGAGCTATCTTTGTAGTTTGTAATACCTGTAGATCTTTTGAGCTATCTTTTGATACTAAAGAGCATAATGATGACTTGCATATATAATTTGTGTTTCATTCCAATTGACCCACTTTTGGAGGAATTGTGACCCTTAAGACTTTTGACCATTGACTTTGTTTTAGTGTATAATGATTTTTATACCGCTGCAAAAAAATTTTGCGGTCGTATATTGGTATGACGTCGGCGTCGTCTTCGTAGTCGTCCGAAGACACATTGGTTTTCGCACTCTAACTTTAGTTTAAGTGAATGGATCTCTATGAAATTTTACCATAAGGTTCAATACCACAAAAGGAAGGTAAGATTGATTTTGGGAGTTATGGTACCAACAGTTAAGGAATTAGGGGCCAAAAATAAGCATTTTTGTAACTTCCAGACATAGCTTGTGTGTTAGTGTATGGATCTCTCTGACATTGTACCACAAGGTTCCATATCACAAAGGGAATGCTGGGATTGATTTTGGGGGTAATTGCCTCAAAATTTTAGGAATTAGGGGCCAAAAAAGGGGCAAAAAACAAGCATTTTTCTAGTTTCATGACAATAACTTGTGTGTAAGTGTATGGATCTTCTGAAATTGTACTACAAGGTTCCATATCACAAAGGAAAAGCTGGAATTGAGTTTGGGGGTAATTGCCCAAAACGTTTAGGAATAAGGGGCCAAAAATAAGCATTTTTCTATTTTCCAGACAATTACTTGTGTTCAAGTGTATGGATCTCTCTGAAATTGTACTGCAAGGCACCATACCACAAAGGGAAGGCTGGGATTGATTTTGGGAGTAATTGCCTCAAAATTTTAGGAATTAGGGGCAAAAAAGGGGCAAAAAACAAGCATTTTTCAAGTTTCAGGACAATAACTTGTGTGTAAGTGTATGGATCTGTATGAAATTGTACTACAAGGTTCCATATCACAAAGGGAAAGCTGGGTTTGAGTTTGGGGTAATTGCCCTAAACGTTTAGGAATTTGGGGCCAAAAAAGGGCCAAAAAACAAGCATTTTTCTAGTTTCCAGACAATAACTTGTGTTCAAGTGTATGGATCTCTCTGAAATTGTACTGCAAGGTACCATACCACAAAGGAAAGGCTGGGATTGAGTTTGGGGTGATGAATCATAAGGGGGTTCAAAAAATTGGGGGGGGGGGGGGATTTTTTTTTCATTTTTTTTTCTTTAAAATTATTCATTTTAAATTGGTTATTTCTGATTTATATATAAAAGCAAATAATAATTATATGGTTTGAAAAGGTAAATTAAAATTTTTTAAGTTCATAGACCACATTCATTCTGTGTCAGAAACCTATGCTGTGTCAAATATTTAATCACAATCCAAATTCAGTGCTGTATCAAGCTTGAATGTTGTGTACATACTTTCCCCAACTGTTCAGGGTTCGACCTCTGCGGTCGTATCAAGCTGCGCCCAGCGGAGCATTTTATTGGACTTTAAAAACTTTATTTAAATGTGCAATTTCAGACTTTTTTGTTAAGCTTGCTGATCTTGAGCAGGGTACATATACCGGTATGTGTATACTGATGACTTAGAAGTTTGAGTCTCCATCTGGTAACTAGACTTTTTGTGATAAGGCTGCAGGTAGGGACATTCATCTTGTATGACCCATTCCTTTTTTATCAACATGGGACTGATCTTAATAGTTAAATGAACTCCTAAAAATTCTTATTCTTTCTGTTCTTTTTCATAGATAAGGGTGACGCCTGAAAAATGGAAAGAAATAATAGAATTCCAAACAGAGGCCAGAAGGCAGCAACATTTAGATGTTAATTATGTTTTCCAAAGACTCAGATTTGATGATGCTTTCTGCTATACAGCTACAGAAACTGAGGTAATGTTTCACAACTTCTACATGTACAAATCTACAGCCTACTGACAACAAAAAAATATGTTTACACTTAAAAGGAAGTCACATGACACTAATGTGATGATGCTATTCTTACAGATACTGTAGATCCATGTCTTCAAAAGCTGCAATATCATGCAAACCTTAATTCTAATGTAATTATTTTGTATCAATGGTTCGGATTGGATGACAATATTAAAAAGTAAAATTCTCTATCTCCCTGTCTGTAACTTTTAAAGGAAGCCCACATTTTGAATTCCGGAATGTATTGACATGTAATTTCTCCAATAATAAGCAAAAAACTTTTTGCACCTAGAAATCTTCTTTTTATCAAATTTTATAACATTCTGAAGCGGACAAGAAGCCAGAAAACGCCCGGTGTTTACATTTGATGCCAGAAGCATACCTATGACGTCACCTAGTTTAAGCGTCAAAGAAGATAAGCATTTTGCGAAATTTTCTTTTAATGAAGATTTTACACTAAAATAATGACTTAAATTCAATGATTTGTTGATTTTGCATTAGAATAGAGATAACTGTATTGTAATGGAAGCTTTGTGGACGTCCATCGGTAGTTTTACTGTTGCAAATATCTGTTTACCTGTCTCCGCTATGCGTCGCCAGGTAAACTCAATTTGCGACTGTAAAACTACCGATGGACAACCGCAAAGCTTCAAATACAATACAGTTATCTCTAAATTAACTACTATACATGGTGTAGAAAAATATTACTAGCAAAATTAAAATGTGTATTAAAAAAATTTGATGATATTGATTTCTGAATTAACAATACTCATATGTTTTATATGGTGTAAACAAACCTTTGATGCAGTATTTTTTTTTTAAATTTCAATTAAAAGTTGTCCTATATTAAGGAAGGTCGTGAATGAAACTCACTAGTATTTTATGCAATTTTGTTGAAATTTAATAAATTTTAAGTTTTGAATTTACAGGTGACATTTAATCTGAGTACTGGTACCAGTGTAAGAGAAGAGGATACAGCACCAGAAGAATTTAAAGATGAACAAAGTGTATTGTATGATCTGTTTTCTGAGCAGTTCTTAGAGGTAAGATTTTATTTCTCCGTCTAAAATGCAAGAATATGTAGAGATTGAGAGTGAGATATAAGGACCTTTTGTTAAAAGATTTCTATTTTATAGAAGTGTCCAAACTTTTGGGAGGTGAAGGGTGGCAAAGTAAGCCAATGTTTGTTAATTGAAGACCTTCCAGCAACTGTCAAGATGAAACACAGCAATAAAGTGGTATTCTTTTGATACATTTTGGACTATTTTATACATTCTTGTGTCAAGAACATCCATGAGTATCCTTCCTTTAACTGCTGTTATTGATTAATGTATTATTGGTTAATGATTGGTTAAAGATAAGATAAGTAAATCAATCATAGTTTTATGTATGATAGGTTAATATCCTGCAACACCTTATTCTGGAGTAGGTCTTGAATTAGTGATGGAAGACAAAACTTATGTAATATATGCAGATCAAATTTAATACAAGTCTCGTGCTATATTTTAGAAACAGAAGAAAGTAAAACATTTCATTTTTGTCGAGCCTTCGACTTTAGTCGAAAAAGCGAGACATAGCGATCCTACATTCCGTCGGCGTCGGCGGCGTCCACAAATATTCACTCTGTGGTTAAAGTTTTTGAAATTTTAATAACTTTCTTAAACTATCCTTGATTTCTACCAAACTTGCACAGAAGCTTGTTTATGATCAAAAGATAGTATCTAGAAGGAAATTTTGTAAAAAAATAAATCTATTTTTTCCGTATTTTACTTTTAAATGGACTTAGATTTTCTGCCAGGAAACAACACATTCACTCTGTGGTTAAAGTTGTTAAAATTTTAATAACTTTCTTATACTATTTTGGATTTGTATCAAACTTGGACAGAAGCTTGTTTATGATCAAATGCTAGTATCTAGAAGGAAATTTTGTTTTCTTCCAGATAAAGTTACATTCAGTCTGCAGTTAAAGTTTTTAAACATTTATTAGATTCATAAACTATCCTGGATTTTTACCAAACTTGGACTGAAGCTTCTTACAATCAAAAGATATTATCAAGTGGAATATTTTTATTGATTCATTTCCTCATTTTTGTAGAGCCTGCGATTAACAGAAAAAGTAGGCGAGACACTGGGTTCCGTGAACCCTTACGAATTTTATAATCATTCATTGTTATGGTAGGTGTCCTATAATGAAATATATTTCATTCTGTGATGCTTGTTGTAAATGATTATTAAGTCTGATCTGTTATACTGTAAATTATTCAAATTCAAATATCTTATTGGATAAAGCACATATAATATATATGACAATGTGTAATCCAAGTGTACACCATATACAATATGATAAATAATGTAAATAAAACATAATATATAGATATAAGAAGATGTGGTATGAGTGCCAATGATACAACTCTCCATCCAAGTAACAATTTATAAAAGTAAACCATTATAGGTCAAGGTAATACACATTAGTGAAAATTGATGATATGCTATAATCACAAATCTATTGTATTATAAAGTACTTCTATAACTAATGGTTAACCAACTGACTTTAAATGATATAATGAACTTCAAAAGCTTGTCTCAAATCATTACATTATTCGTGAGGAAAATGGATACCCTTTACAATGACCATCCATTAATTGTACTTTGAGTTATTGCCCTTTGTTAAAGTCTACAATTCAGTTAGTTCACTAAACAAGGTTAAAAAGATGGGAGTGTTGAAATCTCAGAAACAAAGTTTTTACCATACCACATGTTCATGTGCCTGTTCCAAATCAGGGTTGATTGATTAATTGTTGCCTGTTTAATGTTCAGTGGAAAATAGTTCATGCATATTCAGGAGGAATCATTGAGGTTCCATCTAAAGTATTTTTTGTCATTTTAGGGAATTTGGTGTTGATGGCAGATTTTTTATTGTCTCTGTTGAGTTAATCACTACTTGACTGGACTAGGAGCAATATAGAGCTTGACATATGGTATTAACAATTGTTTTTCAATTGAAGGCTATATATTGACCTCTAGATGTCATTTGATATTTTTTGTTGCTGTTGGGTTGCTGTCTCATTGATGAACATGCTCACTTCCCTATTTATACATAATTAATCATGTACATTAGATAAATATTGTAGGTTAGGTTTAAATGAGAGAAAATTATTGAAGTATTATTGATTCATAAACATGAAAATTTATGAAATCTCCCCAAAATTAAAAGAAATATTAGAAGTTTTAAAATTTATTATTCACAAAACACAAAACAATGATGGCGAGTCCTCACTGCATCAACATGAACAGAAAGTCCTCATCATCCACCCTAGAAAGCAAACCAGACAAGAAAACAATGATGGCGAGTCCTCACTGCGACAACATGAACAGAAAGTCCTCCTCATCCACCCTAGAAAGCAAACCGGACAAGAAAACAATCAGTATGCATAACAGACTGGAGTCTATATTCCTTAACAATAAACCTTTTCTAGACTGTTAGTTATTTCTGTACACTAAATCCATTGGATATGGGATTTATACTGCTCGAGATTTTGTGTGGAATACATGAATTTTTTATCAGTAGTTTTTAGCTATGAACTATCTGTCAGTAACTGCAAGTGCTCTGTGTCTTAAGTGTTTTGATCAGTAGTTTTTGGCTATGAACTATCTGTCAGTAACTGCAAGTGCTCTGTGTCTTTAGTGTTTAGATCAGTAGTTTTTGGCTATGAACTATCTGTCAGTAACTACAAGTGCTCTGTGTCCTTAGTGTTTTGATCAGTAGGTTTTGGCTATGAACTATCTGTCAGTAACTGCAAGTGTTCTGTGTCTTTAGTGTTTTGATCAGTAGTTTTTGGCTATGAACTATCTGTCAGTAACTACAAGTGCTCTGTGTCTTTAGTGTTTAGATCAGTAGTTTTTGGCTATGAACTATCTGTCAGTAACTACAAGTGCTCTGTGTCTTTAGTGTTTTGATCAGTAGTTTTTGGCTATGAACTATCTGTCAGTAACTGCAAGTGCTCTGTGTCTTTAGTGTTTTGATCAGTAGTTTTTGGCTATGAACTATCTGTCAGTAACTGCAAGTGCTCTGTGTCTTTAGTGTTTTGATCAGTAGTTTTTGGCTATGAACTATCTGTCAGTAACTGCAAGTGCTCTGTGTCTTTAGTGTTTTGATCAGTAGTTTTTGGCTATGAACTATCTGTCAGTAACTGCAAGTGCTCTGTGTCTTTAGTGTTTTGATCAGTAGTTTTTGGCTATGAACTATCTGTCAGTAACTACAAGTGCTGTGTCTTTAGTGTTTTTATTAGTTGTAATTGTGTTTTGTATTGATATGATGGGTTAAGCCATTTTCATAAATTCGGTGAATAGTTGTATAATTGATGTCTCCTTATTTTGTACTTATCTCTATTTATCATCCATTACAGGACATCACAATCGTTCACATACAATTTTGACATCACAAGAGAAAAGTGATTGGTATATAATGCAATAAAGTTCAAATGTTGCAAATTTTTTAGTCAGGTTGTCGTAGATTCCAACACAGCGATAACGTCTGTGTTATGGAGACTGATATTTATTCTTAACTGTTTCAGCAATTGACACAACTTCATGATCACTACCACAATGTCAAGGTTGGATTAGAAGGACCTGATGCTAATGAACCTTCAAGGTCACTCAATGTCATACAGACCAATATCGTACCATCATTGCTAGGGTAAGTTATCATGTTTATACAGGCTTTAAGGATGTATTCTTCTGAGGTTTCAGTCTCGTAGGAACCTCGTTCGGGAATTATTTCCAAAATATGTGATACAAGTAGAAAATATTAATGAATATAAAAAATATTATAATCAAACTAAATTCTGTGAAAAAATTGTGTACTTACAATAAGTATTTTTTGAGTAATAAAATTTTCAAATTTTATAACCAATCTGGTAAGTGTCATCAGCCAAAATGTTGAGAAAATAGGTGAGGGTACAAAGAAATTATTTTACCAAAATTATGTACATCCCATATCAATTTTTTCTTTTCAAAATTCTTAGATATGTATTTTTTCAATCATTTATAACAAAGCAGTTGAAATAACATGCTTTTTGTCCTAAAAAAAAAAGAGAAAAATCCCAAATTTACAAAATTCACAGCATGGTCAATTTGACACGAAAAAGCAACAAAATTTTATAAAGCTTTCTAATATTAACACCAACCCATAGTTTTTTATATGACTGCAAAAAAATTTTGCTGTGTATATTGGTATGACGTTGGCGTCATCGTCCGAAGACACATTGGTTTTCGCACAATAACTTTAGTTTAAGTGAATGGATTTCTATGAAATTTTACCATAAGGTTCAAGACCACAAAAGGAAGGTTGGGATTGAAATTGTCGGGGTTATGGTACCAACAGTTAAGAAATAAGGGGCCAAAAATAAGCATTTTTGTAACTTCCAGACATTAACTTGTGTGTTAGTGTATGGATCTCTCTGACATTGTACCACAAGGTTCCATATCACAAAGGGAATGCTGGGATTGATTTTGGGGGTAATTGCCTCAATTTTAGGAATTAGGGGCAAAAAAAGGGGCAAAAAACAAGCATTTTTCTAGTTTCATGACAATAACTTGTGTGTAAGTGCATGGATCTTTCTGAAATTGTACTGCAAGGTTCCATATCCCAAAGGGAAAGCTGGAATTGAGTTTGGGGGTAATTGCCCAAAACGTTTAGGAATAAGGGGCCAAAAAGGGGCCAAAAACAAGCATTTTTCTAGTTTCCAGACAATAACTTGTGTTGATGTGTATGGATCTCTCTGAAATTGTACTGCAAGGTACCATACCACAAAGGAAAGGCTGGGATTGATTTTGGGGGTAATTGCCTCAAAAATTTAGGAATAAGGGGCCAAAAAGGGGCACAAAACAAGCATTTTTCTAGTTTCAGGACAATAACTTGTGTGTAAGTGTATGGATCTTTCTGAAATTGTACTACAAGGTCCCATATCACAAAGGGAAAGCTGGAATTGAGTTTGGGGGTAATTGCCCAAAACATTTAGGAATTTGGGGCGAAAAAGGGGCCAAAAATAAGCATTTTTCTATTTTCCAGACAATAACTTGTGTTCAAGTGTATGGATCTCTCTGAAATTGTACTGCAAGGTACCATACCACAAAGAGAAGGGTTGGATTGATTTTGGGGGTAATTGCCTCAAAATTTTAGGAATTAGGGACCAAAAAGGGGCAAAAAACAAGCATTTTTCTAGTTTAAGGACAATAACTTGTGTGTAAGTGTATGGATCTTTATGAAATTGTACTACAAGGTTTCATATCCTAAAGGGAAATCTGGAAATGAGTTTGGGGGTAATTGCCCTAAACGTTTAGGAATTTGGGGCCAAAAAGGGGCCAAAAAACAAGCATTTTTACAGTTTCCAGACAATAACTTCTGTTCAAGTATATGGATCTCTCTGAAATTGTACTGCAAGGTACCATACCACAAAGAGGAGGCTGGGATTGAGTTTGTGGGTGATGAATCATAAGGGGGTTCAAAAAACTGGGGGGGGGGGGGCCCGGGGGGTTTCCTTTTTTTCCTTTTTTTTTTTTTTTTTTTTAAATTTTCCATTTTAAGTTGGTTATTTTTGATTTATATATAAAAGCAAATGATAATGATATGGTTTGATTTCATCAAAAATTGAAATATTGGGGTTCTTTGATATGCTGACTCTAACCGTGTATTTAGATTCTTTATTTTTTGTCCTGTTTTCAAATTGGTCTACATTAAGGTCCAAAGGGTCCAAAATTAAACTTAGTTTGATTTTAACAAAAATTGAATTTCTTGGGGTTCCTTGATATGCTGAATCTAACCGTGTATGTATTTAGATTTTGGATATTGGACCATAATAGGTAAATTAAAAAATTTTGAGTTCTTAGAACACATTCATTCTGTGTCAGAAACCTCCATACAGTATATTGTTACACTTGATGGTACTGTATGACATTTTTCTTACATTTTTGTCAGAAACTACAAATCAGAATTAAAATTTGGTATGAGGCTTCATGTGAGTGTGCTGTACAGAATGATGCCTTTATACATTAACTACTCATCAACTTCCTGTTCTCTATACAAATTTTAATTGAACAGTAGTAGATATTAGTAGAATGAAAAGTCAACATTATATTAAATGAGTGAATATAATTAAATGTTTACATTGACTATCTTATCTTCCAGGACAGTAATGGCTTATCAACAGAGGAAACAGCATTTGGTATGTATACTTATGGCATAAACAATGTTACACCTAAGACATCAGGGTACCCTATAATTTTGTACCTTACTCCTATCACAAACTATTTATTTGATAATTTTGACTTACCCTTATGTTATACATTTCAGCAGCTAGTTGCTTTTTGGGATTATTCTCAATACCAGGATGTTCTTGAAATTTCAGGGGAAACTACTAATGTACCTTTGGTTAATTCTATGTAAAGATGAAATCACATTGTGGCATGAGTCACCATTTATAATATTTAGAAGTCTTTAGTAAATGATCAGCATGTGTTATTTAACTAAGAAGCATTCTACCATACAAAATCCAATTACACTATAACCAAATATCAGAAACCATGATGGAAGATTATTTATCAATGACATTTTACAACTAGGTATAAGTTAAGAAAATTTTGGTTTTTTTTCAGAGAAAGGCTACAGTATCAGACACAGAAAATGATGATATGAATGATGAAGATTATAAACCAGTATGTAGAAAATAGTAAACATTTTTACATAAAAATCTTAAAAGAACAAAAATATGTTTTAAGTAATGATCACTTTTAGAAATGAGCTGTAGGCATGTTAATAACAATTTCTGGTTTAATGTAATTAAGTTGTTAAAACTAACTTTTTTTTTCTTTTTTTTTTAATTTTAAGAGAATATTTTTTAAGAATGTTAGTTTGAATTAAAGGAGTTTTGAAGTTTATATCAACATGATCGCTGTACATTGCTTAAAATGATAAAAGACTTGTTAATCTACCATGAAAAATAATAACATTGTTTCAGCTAAAAGACATATTGGAAAAGAACTAGCTCATACATGAGAACTTGTTGATGTATCCCACTGGCCTGCTTTTTAATGATGAATCAATTTGACTATGTTTTTAAAAACTGAAATATATATCAATATGAATACAATCAAAGATTAACTATGCTTTATAGTCTTTAGGGGACAGAGGGAATATAAAATCTGAGATCAAAGCCAAAGCTTACAGAAATGTTGCCCGAGCCAGTAGATCCAGACGTCACAGACAGGCTGTTGATTCGGCTGATGATTCTCCTGAAAAACAACACAAACGAGGTAGAAGAAGAAAAAATAAATCTGAGTCTGAAGCAACATCACCAAAAAGAAAGAAAGGAAGAAAGAAAAATATCAAAAAGGAAGGTTTGTGTTGTTATTTTTAATTGTTCACTTCAAAGACTGTCTTAATACAACAAAATTGCATAGTTAAATGTTTTTGTTAGGTATGTTATCTGAAAGTAAAACTATTCCTTCCTAGGGTTGCAGGATGCTGCTACTGATAACATTGAAAGGCATTTATGAATGATTGGCCTGACAAATAAAAACCCTGAAAAGTGTATTTGTCTTGCTATTTGGACAAATAACAAGTTCAGTTATATTTTGTGTTCTCTTTAATACTCCTCATTATAGAGAGAACAGACAACAAACATAAAAAATTTCAATCTACAAGAATAAAACCATACATGGATTGGGATGGGGTAACTTTTAGATATATAGGCATGTGGCTGGAATCCTTATACTTCTGAAGATTTTATGTATGAACAAAACTAGTATTTTCATTGGGTTACACAATTCACTAGAAAATTGATATTTTAGATAAGGAGTATATTCATAGTTCAGGATTAAATTATGAATGGATGATTTTTCAAATTTCTGTCAAATATTTGCCTTGTAAGAGTAAAGGATTAATCTTAACAGTTCTATCTTATTAAAGACCCCACTCTTGGTTTTTTGTAATAACAATTAAGGAAATGAGCGAAAAACGGTGGGCTACAGAACTAAATTATATTTTAGGGGTTTTTACTTCACATCTATTCTCATTTATTCTGCATAATGTATGCCACACTCTTTTACAATATATCTAGAAACTTCAAAACAAAACAAAACAATATCATATTAGTTGGTACTTGCATATAGATAAAGAAATGTGTATTAATTTTCTAAATAGAGTAAATTTATTTTTATTTTCAGCAGAGGATGTTGAAGAACATATGGAAGGAGTCCAAAGTCCAACTAAATCTGATAAAAGTATTGGTGAGGATAATTTGCATACGAGAGACCAAGAAATAAATAAATCAGATACAAACCATGAGGAAATGGGAGAAAGGGAGACAAGTCAAGGGGATGTACTATTGCACATGCCGTCTTTTGATACTGAACCATCAACGTCTGGTACCCAGCAGTCTTCTCCCAAAAAGAAACTGGAAAGTCCTAAGGTTAAAAAGAAAGTGCAGAAAAGAAAAGGTGTTAAAGGTATGCAAATATATTGAACGCTTAAATGTTGACTAAAATGTGATATTAAGAAAACTTGCTGTTGACAAACTAGACATGGTCTAATATAAAGGGGGATATAAATACTCCCTATCTTTATTTGAATTTTGCTGTGAAAGAAAAAATTACAATGATGCTACCAAGGAATTTTTAAATTAGTCTCTGGACAGGCAGACTATAAAGTACCAGGATCAATATTTATCATGTTTATATGATGATACGAACCTGGTCAAGTCTGAAACTTTGTCCATAGAGCTAGCCCTTAGAAAATTTATGTAAAAATGTCTTCAGCAAAACTCATCTAGAAATTTTCCTTTAATTAGATTTGACAATATATTCAAAAGATAAAAATGACCAATAGTGTGAAAAATTGCATGGTACTTGCACACACCTTCACAAATCTTTACAGATTTTGAAATTTAGTGCAGATTAATAACAATTTAGGAGTTATTAAAAATATAAATAATGTATAAATTGCCATGTATGTGCTCTTATCTGTACAATTCTCAACATATTTTGATAACATTTGTAAATGATGGTTTATATTAACAATGTTTCAGTCCCCTTCCCCTTGAAATATGAATTATATAACAAACTGTCTTGGCAACACTCTCATCATTACAATTCTCAACAGATTTTGATAAGAAATATATGAAAGATGTATATTCACTTTATTTCAAATGATTTGAAAATGGTGCCAGTTATAATATTTTATAAGAGTCATCTATCACCATTACAGTCCTTGATGGAATTTGACCTAACTTTCAGGAACTGTTTATATCAATAAATTTTGTTGAGGTAGAAATCAGTGCCAATATTAAAAAAAATTGGGGTAGTTAATAGCCTTAGAAATATGAATTATATGAACATTTGCCTAGAACCTGTGACAGATTTTCATAAAATTTAAATGGAAAATTAGCATCAACAACATTTAAATCAAGTTTGAAAGCCAGTGCTAGTTAAAAAATGGATGTTGTGGCCCATGTAAATTAAATTATGTGAAAAATGTTTACAATAGGAAGACAATTTCAACAAACTTTTTTCTGTGTAGATTAACTGGAGTTATGTCCCATGATTTGGAATTTGAGTTTGATTTGCAGAAGCTTGATTGCAGAAACCACTTCTTTCTGCATTATTTAAAAACATTTTATAAATATTACATTTCTACAATGTGGATATTACATTTCTACAATGTGGGGTTGGGATAAAGGAACACTCTTGTTCTATGTCTATTTAATCAGAATTTCTGCTGAACTTTTTATTTTGTAATTTTATTTAATAGGAAGAATGCCAAGTGTAAAATTACAGCCATTGGAGAAAAAGACCAAGGGAAAGACAAAAATCAAAAAAGAAACCATGACTGAAGAGAAGACATAACTTACAACATGCAAACAATTATATCATATGTACGTTTATCATATCCTCATTAAAAATAAATAATTATTGTTAAATTTTGGAGTTTAGATATCATTCATATATGTAGCTTGAGATTTTAGGTTGATTTTTGTCTCACCTGCGACGAAAGTTGCAGTATATGAGACATAGGGATTACTATCTGGCAGCAGTGGCAGCTGGCCTTAAGAAGGAAGATGACCTGGATGCTTCATACCTTGTATGCAGATACCTTATGTTACAAAGTTTCCGTCTGTCATATGTCTATTGTGAAAATTTTTTTAAAGTTTTTTCGTCAAGTGAATTTCTCACTTATTATGAGTAATAGAATAACTATATTCGGTATACAGGTTCCTTACAACGTCTACATGTTCCTCAGACAGGGTTCCCCTGACCTTGAACTCATTTCATGGATCAGTGATCAAGGTTAAAGTTACTTGATTAGGTCAGTTTTTCAGATACTATAAGCAGTAGGTCAACTATATTTGGTGTATGGAATGATTGTAAGGTGTACATGTCAGTCTGGCAGGTTTTATCTGACCTTGACCTCACTTTCATGGTTCTTTGGTCAATGTTAAGTTTTTGTATTTTGGTCTGTTTTTCAAGTACAATAAGCAATAGGTATCTTATATTTGGTGTATGGAATGCTTGTAAGGTGTACATGTCTGTCTGGCAGGTATCATCTGACCTTGACCTCATTTTCATGGTTCATTGGTAAATGTTAATTTTGTGTGTTTTGGACTGTTTTTCAAGTACTGTAAGCAATAGATTCACTATATTTGGTGTATGGAATGATTGTAAGGTGTACATGTCTGTCTAGCAGGTATCATCTGACCTTGACTTCATTTTCATGGTTCATTGGTCAATGTTAAGTGTTTGTGTTTTGGTCTGTTTTTCAAATACTAATAGCAATATGTCAGCTCGTTTTGGTGTATGGAATAATTGTAAGGTGTACATGTCAGTCTGGTAGGTATCATCTGACCTTGACCTTATTGTCATGGATCTTTTAAAGTGTTAAGTTTATGTGATACTTGCAGTAAAACCTTTATCTTTAAGACTTTCAACATAAAATCAAAGGTCAGTCAAACAGGCGAGGCATTTCAGCATGTGCACTCTTCTTTTCATTCTGTGTTAACTTTTAATTAAAGTCTGTCTTCGCAAACTTTATAAAACTTCTCTTAATCTACTGGGCCAAATGTAACCAAACTTTACCTGGATGTTCTTAGGGTATGTACTTTAAAATTTTGTACCCAGGATTTGATTAATTATCAAACATGGCTGCTGTTGCTAAAAATAGAACATAAGGGTAAAATGCAGTGTTTGGCTTATATCTCACAAACTAAAGCAGTTAGAGCAAATCTGTCAAGGATAAAAATGATAAGCAGGTCAAGGTTTACCGTTATGGAATTTTCAGAAATTTTTTCATGTGTAGAATTGATCAGCAGCACAAGGTCTAACTACTGCAGAATTTTCAGCAAAATCATACAACAAATTTTGGAGTTATTACCTCTGAAATGTAAATTTTTTGAAAATTTCTCAAGTTTTTGGTTTGATGATGATTTTTAATTCCTTTTGAATTGTTTTACATTTGTCATTTCGGGGCCTTTTATAGCTGACTCTGCGGTATGGGTTTGACTCATTGTTGAAGGCGGTACAGTGACCTATAGTTGTTAATTTCTGTGTCATTTTGTCTCTTGTGGAGAGTTGTTTCACTGGCAATCATACCACATCTTCTTATTAAGTCTCCCAAACAAAGTTTGGGAAGACTTCTTCTTCTTCTTCTTCTTCTTCTTCTTCTTCTTCTTCTTCTTCTTCTTCTTCTTCTTCTTCTTCTTCTTCTTCTTCCTCTTCCGCCGCTTTTAAATTTGAACTTGTCTGCACCCGTTCTCCAAAACCGTTTGTCAGATTAACTTAGGGTTTCACAATATGTTAGACTAACATGTCTAGTGGTGCAATCAGGGTTTTGTTTTTGCAATGGGGTTTATAAAGGGGTACTTTGAGGGGCAAAAAGTAAGGAGGGTTTTACTATAGAACCCTATGGGATTTTATTTTTTTTAATTTTCAAATGATTATAAATTGAAAACTGTTTGTGATAGACACAATCTTTTTAATTGAAAATGTTCTAAATGATAAAGCACATTAAATGAAATACAGGGTTAGTCCCCAGGGGTCACCCCCACCCCCTGCCATTTAAGAAAGTTCTAATATCTTGTTAATGGTCGAGATCCCCACCCCTAAACCATATATATTCTGGTTTTCATGCTAGGATGGTTTGAATGATATACAGGGTTAGTCCCCGGGGGTCATCCCGACCCGCTGCCTTTTGAGAAAGTTCTAATATCTTGTAAATGGTCGAGATCCCCACCCCTAAACCATATATATTCTGGTTTGTCATACTAAGATGGTTTGAATGATATACAGGGTTAGTTCCCAGGGGTCACCCCACCCCCTCCCATTTAAGAAAGTTCTAATATCTTGTAAGTGGTCAAGATCCCCACCCCTAAACCATATATATTCTGGTTTGTCATGCTAAGATGGTTTGAATGATATACAGGGTTAGTCCCCAGGGGTCATCCCGACCCCCTGCCATTTGAGAAAGTTCTAATATCTTGTAAATGGTCGAGATCCCCACCCCTAAACTATATATATTCTGGTTTGTCATGATAAAGCACATCAAATGAAATACAGGGTTAGTCCCCAGGGGTCACCCCCACCCCCTCCCATTAAAGAAAGTTCTAATATCTTGTAAATGGTCGAGATCCCCACCCCTAAACCATATATATTCTGGTTTGTCATGCTAAGATGGTTTGAATGATATACATGGTTAGTCCCCAGGAGTCATTCCGACCCCCTGCCATTTGAGAAAGTTCTAATATCTTGTAAATGGTCGAGATCCCCACCCCTAAACCATATATATATTCTGGTTTGTCATGATAAAGCACATCAAATGAAATACAGGGTTAGTCCCCAGGGGTCACCCCCAGCCCCTCCCATTTAAGAAAGTTCTAATATCTTGTAAGTTGTCAAGATCCCCACCCCTAAACCATATATATTCTGGTTTGTCATGCGAAGATGGTTTGAATGATATACAGGGTTAGTCCCCAGGGGTCACCCCCACCCCCTGCTCTTTAAGAAAGTTCTAATATCTTGTAAGTTGTCAAGATCCCCACCCCTAAACCATATATATTCTGGTTTGTCATACCAAGATGGTTTGAATGATATACAGGGTTAGTCCCCAGGGGTCATCCCTACCCCCTGCCATTTGAGAAAGTTCTAATATCTTGTAAATGGTCGAGATCCCCACCCCTAAACCATATATATTCCTGTTCGTCATGTCTCGAACATTTGAATGACGTATAGGGTCAGTCCCCAGGGGTTCCCCCCACCCCCAATGTTCTAGTATCTTGTAAATGGTTGAGATCCCCACCCCTAAACCATATATATTCTGGTTTGTCATGCCAAGATGATTTGAATGATATACAGGGTTAGTCCCCAGGCATCACTAATGCATATAACTTTACTGGACCAAACCAATTTTCACTGGATTTGTCCAATGTCAGGCGACCCTGGGAATTACGAATTAAGGGAGCTTCGTTTGGGAGACTTCGTAACAGCATCCTGTTACAATCATTTCTTGTTTTTATAATTTTTACATTTTTTAGGAAACTGTAGTTGATACAGAGAATCTTTCCTAAGTAAAAATATTCAACAAAATATGATCTACAAGTAGGTCAACATGGACAAATCATCAAATGACTTCTTTTAGGAGTTATAGCCCTTGAAAGACATATCCATTCATTTTTTGTTGTTTTTTGCAGAAGCTATAATAGAAAGAGAGAAATTGTAATTAGCAAAAGTGTTCAGCACAATAAGATCTACAAATAAGTCACCTTTGCTGAAATTGTCGATTGACTGCTAAAAGGAGTTATTGCCCTTTAAAAATGGTTTATTTTAATACTATATAACTGATTGCAATGAAGGAAAAAATTAACATCAAAATTGCATAGTTTTTTATACGACCGCAAAAATTAAAAATGTTTTGGTCGTATATTGGTATCACGTTGTCGTCGTCGTCAGTGTCTTTCCGAAGACAGATGGTTTCCGGATAATAACTTTAGTATAAGTCAATAGAAATCAAAAAATGTAACACAAGGTTTATAACCGCTAAAGGAAGGTTGGGATTGATTTTGGGGGTTATGGTCCTAACTGTTTAGGAATTAGGGGCAAAAAAAGGGGCCCAAATAAGCATTTTTGTAGTTTCCAGAAAATAACTTGTGTTAAAGTGTATGAATCTGAAATTATACCACAAGTTTCCATACATCAAAGGGATGGTTAGGATTGACTATGGGGGGTTATGGCTCAAACCATTTAGGAATTAGAGGCAAAAAAGGGGGAAAAACAAGTTTTTTCTGGTTAAAGGACAATTAAGACAATTTAAAGCAGTCTAAGGGAGGAAATCCCATCCCAATTTAAAACAACAATGTTTGATTACCTCCCTTACACTGCTTGTTAATTATGTATTAAGAAATGATGATTGTCTTGAGGTGATTAGCTGTCAATTTATTTTTAAAAGTTACTATTAATTAATATTAACTTTAGCCATGACTATGTATGTCATTTTATATTTTAAGACTTGTATGATGTATTTAAAAGGGTAATTGTGGTTGCAAATTTTATTAAAATTTGAATTGAGATTATGACTATATCTTGAGGGAATGATATTTTTTTTTGGAATAAGGGAAAGAGGGAGGTGAAAAAAAATTGAGGGGGGGAATAAGAATTTGGGGGGGGGGACTATTTTTTCTCATTTCAGATTGCAGAAATAAAAAAGAAAATTTCTTCAAATATTTTTTTTATACGCCCGTTTACGGGACGTATTATGGTATACCGTTGTCCGTCTGTCCGTCTGTCGTCAACATTTCGGACATTAACTCAAAAACAATTTAACCAATTTGCATAGAACTTTGGTGAATTGTTTATATCTATTGACGTGAGCTCCCTTTCGTTTTTTATAAATTTTAGATTTTACTTTTCCGAGTTATGGGGTTTTATTCATTAA